CCGCTTCTCCCACTGTCAGAAATGTGCAGGCGGATCATGAGCTCCTGCATGCCAGAGATGACTGAAAGCCTGGCTTGATGATGTCATGTGTCAAGCTCCTGACTCAACATTTGTCTAATTGAGCTTTGAATCATGGGGCAGGGAGAGGCCCAGTCCGAAGCCACATTCCCCCATAATCCTCAGCTAATACTGCCTAATACTGCAGCACACGATCACACCACCGCATAGAGGCCTCCATCATACACACTCACTGTCAGATACTGCCAACTACTCACCCTAAACTTGCCCACTGTGGGTCCTTAATCACATACGCTCACGCAACCTCACAGCTTTGGTACATCGCTGCACCCTGTGTGTTTTCTTGAGTCATAACACACAGGCATAGTTTCGGTTGGGCCCACACAGATTGTGACCTGCTGAATTCAGACGCCCAGCATTTGATCATGTTTCAGTTGTGTTAGAGGAGGCTGGCGTTTGGCACATGTGCGCCAACACAAATATAGAGCAAGATTTTTTTAGTGTGTCAGAAACAAATAACACAGTTGATGTAATCCAATTCTAGAATGAATGTTTTTTATAAGATGCTTATTTTTTGTGAATTGGTAGTGTGGAGAGCAGCTAATGTGCACCAATTAACAAAATTACACGCGTGCTTTAGGATTTGAATAAAAGAAAGCACTGCTTTTTTAATCCAGTTAATACTGTTGTACATCAAGAGTGAATTCATTAAAAGTGGTGGTAAAGATTTATACTTAAAGGGCACCTATATTGAAAATCATCTTTTGTTAGCTGTTTGGACAGAACTGTGTGTAGGTATAGTGTGCCCACAGTCATATTGGGGTGATATAAACATAATAAGTCTTATTTTTAATTTAGGATACGATTCCTTCCCATTTTATGGCCCACCGCAATGTGACGTAGGACTGTGGTTTCCCCTGCCCACCGAATTGACTAACAGCTCCGTATTAACATGTCTCAGTAGTAATGCGTATAATCATATCAACAAGACAGGATGTTTGCAAAGCAACTGGGATTAAAAGATCGGTTCTGTTCTCTGTGATCATCTGTCATCATCAAATGTGATCAAGAATCAGTTTTACAAGTTTGAGACGTTTTTAAAACAGTGCATGTTTGTAATGAATTGCAGCAATTTACTTCAGCTTTACTTCAGCTTTACTAATCACTGCATGTCAGTACAATTATAAAAGAAGACGCTTCAATCAGGATTTGTGGATGTTAAATCAGGTTTATTTTGTACATTAGCATAACAGATATCCATACAGTAGTGGAAATTAGCATGTATCTTGTCATATTTGCTGTGCAAAAACAGTGCAGTTAAACGTGCACCGTGTGTGTGTTTGTGTCCACTGTGTGTGTGCATGAAATTTGTAACAACATTGTGTGTGACTCATCATTGCATAAAGGCTTGAATTAACTCCACAACAAATACATCAAATAATCATTGGGAAAGTTCTTACTGTAGTATTTCTCACAAACGTTATGTGAGATCTGCTTCCTTCATGTCTGTCACTGTGCTGTTTATCTGACACAGAGATTGAGGCACACTCTGATAGGCACGTTGGAACGGTGTGGGGAGAACTAGCATTAAAGGCATGGGCAACAAAAATAGCTACATTGTGTTCAGAGCAGAGAACTCTAATATTTTGAAAGCTATAATAAATAATCTGATGGGTGTTTGGAGCTGAAACTATACAGACACAATCTGGAGACACAAAAGACTTCTCTTAAATCTTGAAAATGGATGCGGTTTAAAGGGTTAGTTCAACCTTATATGAAAATTCTGTTAGTAATTACTCACCCGTATGTTGTTTCAAACCCTTAAGAACTTTGTTCATCTTCAAAACACAAATTAAAATATTTTAGTTAAAATCCCAGAGTTCTCTCTTCCCCTATAGACAGTAAGGATCCCAAGATGTTCAAAGTCTAGAACAGGAACCAAAAATATTGTCAAAACATTCCACTTGACTTCAGTGGTCCAGCTATAATAATGCTCAGCTCCATAAATACTTGTGTGCCAAAGAAAATTAAAAATGATTTTTTTTTTTTTTTTTTGCCTATGTCTTCCACATCAGATCAAGGTGGGCTTTTACTACATTATACATTACATTATTATATATTATATCATTATATATAACGCTTGCATGTTGTGCTGCTGACTCTAATGGTAATACATCATACTGCCTGTAGTAAATGGAATCCATGATGACCTGACCAGACAGAAGAAACTAAATTGAACAAGTTTTTATTTTTTATTTTTTTATTATTATTATTATTATTATTTTATTTAATTTTTTTTGCTGCACAAAATGTTCTTGGAGCTTCATATTATTACAGCGAAACCACTGAAGTCACATGGAAGATTTTGACAATATTTTTGGTTCCTTTCTTTACTTTGAATGTCTTTGTGGTCCCTTTTATAAACATTTGCAGAGAAACCATCCTAAAAGTGAACGCACAGCAGAAAAAAAATGTATTTACTTATTAATGATTATAAATCATATGATGTTTAAAGTGGTTCAATGAAGTCAATATTTAAGTTAAACATCATTACTTAGTATTTACTTGCAGCTGCGCACATTGCTCGGTCAAGGTTGTTTGTTATAGTGGCAAATTGTGTTTCCCCCTTATTTTGTGCATACACTAAACTGTAGCTGTTATGGAGGATGAGAGAGCTCTTGGATTTCATCTACAATGTCTTAATTTACGTTCTAAAGATAAATGAAGGTCTCAAGGGTTTGGAACGACATTGGAACGAGTAATAATTAACATAAAAAAATTTTCTGATAAAAATTGATATATACAGTTGAAGTCAGAATTATTAGCCCCCCTGATTTATTAGCCCCCCTCTTTATTTTTTCCACAATTTCTGTTTAACAAAGATTTTTTGAATACATTTCTAAACATAATAGTTTTAATAACTCATCTCTAATAACTGGTTATTTTATCTTTGCCATGATGACAGTAAATAATATTTGACTAGATATTTGTCAAGACACTTCTATACAGCTTAAAGTGACATTTTAAGGCTTAATTAGGTTAATTAGGCAGGGTAGGGTAATTAGGCAAGTTATTGTAGAACGATGGTTTGTTCTGTAGACTATCAAAAAATAAAAAAAATAAATAGCTTAAAATAAAAATAAATAGCTTAAAGGGGCTAATACTTTTGACCTTAAAATGGTGTTTAAAAAAAGTATAACTGCTTTTATTCTAGCCAAAATAAAACAAATACTTTCTCCGGAAGAAAAAGTATTATCAGACGTACTGTGAAAATGTCCTTGCTCTGTTAAACATCATTTGGGAAATATTTATAAAAGAAAAAAAAATCTGGGCGGTGGGGGTGGGGGGGATGTTGGAGGGGCTAATAATTTAGACTTTAACTGTACATTTTCAGTTAACTTAAGAAATTTGAATGAAACAATACAGATTTAGTTTAAAATATAATTAAGTAAGTTTTGCATCAAATACATTATGATCTACCAGCAAGCTTTTCACATGCCAATAAGAACACATTACTACCATAAAGAGTTACAGCAATAATGCTGTGGATCCCTCCATAACTGGCAGAGACTTGAAAATTACCCTTGTTTGACAAATAAATAAGAGCACATGGTATGAGCAGGGCACAGTGGTTAGCACTGTCCCCTCACTGCAAGAAGGTTGCTGGTTTGAGTTGGAACCCTGTGTACACATGGGTTTCCTCAGGGTGCTCTGGTTTCCCCCACAGTCCTAAAACATGCGCTATAGGTGAATTGAATTGACTAAATTAACTGTAGCATATGATTGCATAAATTTGAGACTGTATAGGTGTTTCCCAGCAATGGGTTTCAGCTGATAGGGCATCCGCTGTGCTGGAATAGTTGACAGTTCATTCCACTGTGGCAGCCCCTAAAAAATAAGAGACTAAGCCGAAGGAAAATGAACGAATAAATGACAAATAAGTGATTAAAGTACACATTTCCAACATTTTCAAATGCTACACCTGAAACGACATGTTACTTTCAGGATATTTATCAAATCTCCAATCTCAATCTTTCCAATATCATGGATTTGCAGAGCATTCACAGCACTTACGAACCACACACCCCTGCTGAGATGTTGCCCACTTTCAAATCCGGATGATATTCTGGTCCCTACTGTAGATATGACTCAGAAGCTTTCTTCAATGAACGTCTGATTGCTTCTAGATAATCGCACACCTCGCTTCCGCCAGGCACCGAAAGCATTCATTCCTCCTTTCCCATCCTCTCCCTCCATCTCTCACCTTCACCTCCATCAGCTGTAGTCAGAACCCACAACACGTCATCCCGTTTTACAGGGTGAATCACCAGCCATAGTTCACATCTGCTCTCAGCTCAAAGAACCTAACCAGGGAAAACAAGCAATTACCGGTGGGCTTTTTCAATCAACTCTTTGGCGAGCCGGCCGGGGGCCTGGGATGGGGGAAGGTGGGCGGAAGAGATAATTAGACACGGTTAAAAATATCCCAGCTCATTGTCTCCGCTGTCCCACATCCTCAGATAATGTGCAGCTATTGGCGCAAAGATCATGTGCTCCTGGGAGGAATGTTTTGCATGTTTTTAGCGGCTGAACGGCCAGCGAGGATCACATGACAGCTCGATGTGCTCTTGTTTGTATGTTTTGCCTGCTTTTTACAAAACAATTAAATGATAAGGATTGTCCATGATTCTAATTCGTGTTCATTCTATGCACTGCGTTTCTGAAAGTGAATGTACTGTGGAAGTCAAACATATTCGCCCTGCTGTGAATTTGTTTTTCAAATATTTCCCAAATGATATTTAACAATTTTTCATAGTATTACCTATTATATTTATTCTTCTGCAGAAAGTCTTATTTGTATTATTTTATGGAGGAAAAAAATCTTTAGGGGGGCTAATAATTCGGACTTCAACTGTATGTTGTTGGTGAAAAGGAGAAGTTACTCTGAGACTGACTTGTCTTCCTGTTTCCTGTTTCTGCAGCCCTCACTTCCAGTCCTATATACCCTGTCCAGTCAAGCAACCCATGAGGCCGTTCACCTCCTCTGCAGGATGTTGGTCTTCGACCCAGTAAGTGTTCTTGATACTCTATTATCATATTTTCTTTTGGATTAAAGCATGTTAAATATACGTTCTGTTAAAAAATATATGACTCTGGTCTTATGTTGCATGGATATATATTTTAGGCAGTAGAAAAAATATATGGTCACACTTTATTGTGATGGTCCGGCATTAAGTTACATTGCATCTGCATGCCTACTAATTTTCATTTGATTAAAAGTCGACTGTTAGGTTGGGGTTTGGGTTAATGTAAGTTGACATGTACTTGCAAAGTTTCTTATACAGTAGTCAGTTAAAAGTCTGTTGAAGGAGCTGTATCAACAGATATTAAGCTGACAGTCTACTAATACTCAAATAGACAATCAAAAAAAGTGTAACCAAATATATTGTATGGGTCAAAATTATAAAAAAAATTTTTTAAATAATTTGCATATTAAGAAAAGTGTTGCATGAAGACATTTTTACACATTTCCTACTGCAAATGTGTCAAAACTTAATTTTGTAGAAGTATTATGCATTGCTAAGAGCTTATCTTGAACAAGTTTAAAGGTAATTTTCTCAATATTTAGATTTTTTAAACCCTCGGGTTTCAGATATTCAGATATCTCAGTCACGGTCATATCTCGACCAAATATTGCCTTATTCTAACAAAGCAAACAGTAATGAAATGATTTGTTCATCTTTCAGTTAATGTAATATTAATTTATAATTATTACTTTTTTAGTTCAGTTTGACATATTTGATTATTATTTAAACCAGATTTACCACAGACATGATGTAATATTTATGTCATTTATATCCATTTAAATTAGCATTTATATAACATAGATGTAATGCATTTTTTGTATTCTATTACATATGAACATCATTATTTCTGATATAACTAAATAATACAATATTGTAATATTTTTCTCATATATTAAATTTACTACAATATATATATATATATATATATATATATATATATATATATATATATATATATATATATATATATATATATATATATTTCCATATAAAGTGTTATATTTTAGGGGGGAGGCTATAACATGCTGTCTGTATAAACACACAGACACACAGCAACACACTGTCTCTCATTCAAACACATTCACAAACATAGACAGCATCAAACAAACAAACACACACACGCACACACACACACACAAACAAACACACTTAAGCCCTTGCAACAGGGAGAGCTTACGCTGAGCGGAGCAGAAAAACAGAAAAAAACGAAAAAAATAAGCACTTTTCCGATGGTCCCTTACAGAGAGCTCCTCTCAGCGCGAGCTCTGCCGGCTAAAGTAAACGCAGACTGCAAGGGCTTAAACGGAGCTGTGCTCGTAATGTCGAGCGAAAAAAAGAAAGACAGCTGTGAAACATAACCAGCTTTGTCTTTCTGTAGGAAACACACTTTAGATATTTTTAGGGTAAGCGTTTTTTGAGTTATTGGCGTCTATAACTGAATGTGTGTCAGGAAAATCGAAAACAAAACCAACTGAACTGCGCTCATTTCTGGCGCCCCACTGGATATACAGCGCCCTAAGCATTTGCCTGTGGTGCCTATGCCACGGGCCAGCCCTGAGTTTGCTGAGTGTTGTAAATAACGGCGCTCACCTTCCTCGCGACAGAGCGCATAGGAGATAAATGACGTCAGTACATAATAACCGGTTATGGTTATTACTAAATCGATACCGAATTGTCCGTGTCTGCATCGCGGTGCACCGAAGAAACAATTAATTTTGACACCCCTAATATATATATATATATATATATATATATATAGTATTTATAATATATATTTGTTTTATTTGTTTTATTGTGTTTATATGTTTTACTGTAATATTTAAACTGAACTAATGTGTTCCCCGAAACAGTCGAAGCGAATCTCTGCGAAGGATGCCCTGGCACACCCGTATCTGGATGAGGGGCGTCTGCGATACCACACCTGCATGTGCAAATGCTGCTACACCACGTCCTCCGGCCGCGTTTACACCAGTGACTTCGAACCCGTCACAAACCCCAAGTTTGACGATGGATTTGAGAAGAACCTGACGTCAGTTCGGCAGGTCAAAGGTGAGCCACCAAAAACTCATTCACTTTTACACATTTATGAGGATTACAGTACACAACAGAGATGCACCAATAGACCGGCCAGAAATCCGCATTGGGTTTTTTTTGTTGCTCTAAACTAAAAATAAAACATTAAATTAAACAAATCTAGCAAACATAAACTATTCATTCACTATAAATCCTTCATTTTAATTTCTTTATTAATTATGTGATGTTTTCAACATTAAATTGATGGTACGAATAAGACGAATTAAACCTCTCTAGTACTATCATACCTTGTAATATACTGTACAGTTGAGGTCAAAATTATTAGCCAAATATTATTTATTTTTTATATTTTCCAAATATTTCACAAATTATTTATAACAAAGCAACAATTTCTTTACAATATTTCTTATGTTTTTTCTTTTGGAGAAAGTCTTAGTTTTATTTCGGCTAGGATAAAATATTTTTTTAATTTTTAAAAACCATTTTAAGTTCAATATTAATAGCTCCCTTTAGCATTATATTTTTACTAATTAACTAATTTTAACTAATTACCCTAACTCACCTAATTAACCTAATTAACCTCTGAAGAAACAAATATTTATATATTTTGTTTTGTTTATTTTTATTATTATTTTTATTTATTTATTTTCTTTTTTTTTTTTTGGCTTAGTCCCTTTATTAATCAAAGTTGCCACAGCAGAATGAACTTTCTAATTTATTTTATTTTATTTCAAAACAAAATCAGAACTGGCCACTGCATCACTACTACACAATCTACAACACGTGAGCCAAACAAAGTCAGTCTATTAATTTAACCTTTTGTCCCGATTCACCTCGCTTTGAAGACAACGTGTTCAAGAGCTAAAGGTCTTAATTGAATTGGAGCTATTTGAGAGCATGTGGCCGTCATGCCGTTGCGTGTTAATCAGAAGCCTCCTGCTGCTCCTGGTGTTTTTTGTGCCTTGTTTTCACCCTTCACTCGGGGCCCCTGGATCGGCGCTTGCCTTCCACTGTCAGCGGGTATTAGCGAGAGTCTGTCACTAAAAGCAGGCTTACTGTGCTGTCGGCTCAAAATAACTGTGCCCTTCACCCTCCCTCCTCTTCCTCCGTCCTGTGTGTTTCCACTGGAGGATTAGTCAGTGCGGATGGAGCCCAGCGCCTGGAGACTTTAAGCGCTTTAGGGAAGGCAGGCGTGTTTGGACGGCAAGGGGAAGCCCTCTTGGATCCACACATGAGGAGTTTCCACGTTGCCCAAGCTAGTTTTACGCTTTAGAAGATCTTACAGATATCATAATGCTGCAGAATCGACTCTTTGACCTGCTTCACTGCTAAAATAGACCTTGTCTTCTTTTATGATTAAGGATTTGCTCTGGAAATGTGTTGTAGAGTGTAACCAGTTTGTTTATATTAGTGTGGACACACAGTACACTATCATATACAGTATCAGTAGCATATATTATAGGGTCATTATTTATTTCATTCATTCAGTAGTCTCTATTTCAGTGGTCACCACAATGGAATGAACTGCCAACTATTCCAGCATATGTATTACGCATGTGGATGCCCTTTCAGCTGCAACCCAGTACTGGGAAACACCCATATACACACATACACTACTGCCGATTTAGTTTAATTCATGTCTTTGGACTGTGGGGGAAACCGGAGCACCCGGAGGAAACCCACACAAACACTGGGAGAACATGCAAACTCTACACAGAAATACCAATTGGCCCAGCCAGGCCTCGAACCAGCGGCCTACTTGCTGTGAGGCAACAGTGCTAACTGAGCCACCGTGCCATCCTGATGGTTTCTTTGAAGTCACATATAAACAAAATAGTTTTGTTTTTGTGAACTAAAATATGAGCCAAGTCATGATTAGCCACGATTGAATGTAACTTCTGCTGTTATTATTGTTTGTTTCTCATCGAGCCTCTGCTATTTCTCCATCACACAGAGATCATTCATCAGTTCATCCTGGAGCAGCAGAAAGGGAATCGAGTACCGCTCTGTATCAACCCTCAATCCGCTGCCTTCAAAAGCTTTATCAGGTGAGGCTGCCCTCTTCTGAACGTCTCTTCTGCTTTAATGGTTAAAGCTCTTTTCTCCAGGTCAGGTTTCATGCTGGAAAGCAATATGAGCATAATGAAAGTTAGATCTATATGTTCATAGCAATTTTTGCATTGTGACATTATTTTCATCACAAAAATTCATTTTAAGACCAGAAAAATGTGTCATTTAACAAAAATAATTGCAATAATTACAAATTATAAAGATTTTAAAAAACTGAGTGTTTTATACAGGTGTACGTTGTATTAAATAATACATATTACTTTTATTTAAATGCATTATTATTTATTTTTAGATTTCTATTTGTTAAAATGATTACTAAGTATACAATTACTATATAAATACAATGGTCATAAAATAAGCAAAACGCTTACATTTGTTTATGCAAAATGTGTTTTTTGCTAGAATAAACATATATACTTTATTTTAAACTTGAAATTAAAAAATCCCCAGGCAATTCTTTACTGAATTTATGATATTCACTCTCATGCCATACCTTTTCCTTTTACAAACATGCTAAATCAAAGCCAGTGAGTTTAAGAATCATGTTTGGACATGCTTTAGGTTAAAAGAAACATGTCATTGTTCAAAATTAACCCTAATTTTTTTATATAAAAGACCAGAGCTTGACATTAACACCAGGAAATGTGTTTAGATTTCAGCTGTGGTGGGTTAGACAGTCACTCCCACTAGCTACTTAGGCTGGTTGATAATTAATTAATATAATTTTTAAATTGTAGTTGTTATAAAAAAAAGCAGAGTTCAACAATAAGGATTTTCCAATGAGGGGCCAGCGTGAGAGATCACAATAATAACTGTGTTCGTGTAAGCAAAAGAAAGCAGGTGAATACGTGAATACCGAATGAGGCGATGTTGACGCACTGACGAGGGCTTCAGTGTCAAGGCTGATTTCAGGTGATATGACACACGCAAGTGTTTAAAGGTTTCAAAAAAAAAAACTCTTCCTTGCATGAAGCATCCGTGCCTGTAAACATAACTGGTGCGATTGGTTCTCTTTTAAATAGACTGGACAAAAAGTGATGCTTGTGCCCCACAGTCCTGCTGCTTTCAAGAGCTCCATTTTTTTTAAAGATGTTTTTGTAAGCAGCAGGTTCCTTTTTCACATGGTATGTTTTCATCTGCTTTCTTTTGCTTACAGTTATTTTAAGCTAATAATTGATTTTATTTTTATTTATTTATTTATTTATTTATTTATTTATTTATTTATTTTTGGTGTGGCTAGAGAAAAAAACAGTAAATCCTTAGTGTTGAGTCCTGAAAAATAAAAGCTAATTGCAATGCGACACTATGAATAACTCATAACTCATTTGCTCATGATCATTGAGCAAGGTCATACATAATACACAAAATAAGTGTAATCAATGAGGAGGCATGTGGAAAAAACACATCTAAATCAAGTCATTTTAGCATGCCAAAATCAAATTTTATGCATATAAAATAAATATTTTCCAACAACAAAATTGTGGCTAGTGAAAATGGCAAGTGGCTAGTAATGTTGGTAAAATACTAGCCAAGTGGCTGGTGATCAAAGAAGTTAATGTGAAGCCCTGTAAAAGACAGTATGTCTTAAATGGGAGCAATTGTTGCAAATGTTTTTGTTAAATCTAAACATTTTGATCTCATCTTCTAGCTTCCAGTCTCTCAACACTAGATGGAGACATCTCCTTATCCTTTACACAGGACCTAACAATCCCCTCTTTCTTTCATTGTGTCCACAGCTCAACAGTAGCTCAGCCCTCTGAGATGCCTCCATCTCCTTTAGTTTGGGAGTAGCTGAGGACAACAGAGAAGATGGCGTTGATCACAGTGGCAGTGGACGTCCCTCCGGCGGCCTGTCCCGTCCCGCGCCCACCCTCGCCCCTCCGGACTACTGACCCCCAGGCATCCCCAAACCTGCGTAGCATTTCACTGGAGTCTAGGACTAGCCAATGTTGCTGATATTTGTGTGTGTGTACTGTAATACTTACTAAATGGAGTTTTATAGAGGCAACCACTGCTGATGAGTTCAAGCGGGACAAGGGAAGGGTGGGCGTGGTCCTGGGGGGTCCGTTCGTTCATACCCACTGCTCTGTAGTAGTAAACTGAAGGTTCGGAAAGCTCTCGAACCTGTACTTTCGGCAGATAAAGTCGATCCCTGTGGACTTGAATGTATTGAAGAGCAGGGCGGCAGAATCTGTGCAGTATCCCTGAAGGAAAACTCATCACGACTATGTGTGCGAGTAATCATGCTTTATTTATTCACGGAAACAAGAAGTGCAGTGCATCATGTAGTATCGAAAAGAAGGCAAGTTTTTCTTAAGTCTGAAGTTTTTTCGCTCGCGATAGCACCTTAGAAAGAAACAGGGCCGTGGTATAGGGTGGGACAGGAAATATCCCTGACACACCAAGCCAAATCTTGGTTTCCGGTCAACGTCTTGCCATCCATTGGTCAGTTATGTTTTTCTAGAGTGGAGTTAGTCCGACCTGTTAGGGGACTTTCTGGCCAATTGAGAATGCTGAAGCGCAATCTGTGCCATCAGTGAGAGAGAAGACTCTGATTGGCTGTTCAGTTTTGAAGAGGAGTCATAGCTAATTCAGGAGTCATTAATAAAAGCCAAAGTGATGAAAATGAACAAAGAATTTAAAAAGGCACAGAGAGAAGGCTCTTATAAGGTATTTAGGTCATCTTACCTAATCACAGATATATTTGTAATGACAGAAAGAGTCTGGAATGAGCAAAGTGATCATTACATTGTTTATATTGAAAATATGGCACACATTATGTGCACTATTTGACTACTAATGGCACTTTATAATGCAGACTATTGTCAGTGAAAGTCCACAAGACCGCAACGTGACCCAATCTGTGGCATTGCTAGGAGATTATATGCACAGGTTTGGGCTCTGGGACCCTTTGCTAAAGATTTCAGTCATGGGACTTTACTGTTGTGGGCCTCTAGACCCTATGCCCTCCATTTCCCCCTACATTCAGTACACTGCTGTTGGCATCTAGCATATTTTTAGCTTTCAAATAGCGACAATTGTGGACAGCAAGAGTTTAGGATGCCAACTGTTATTGAGCCATAGACTATTGAATCCTGCTGATGTATAGACAGTTATTTCCTCTCACTCAGGCACAGATCAAACCTGCTATTAGGCCATTGGTTGCAGTCTTTGTAGTGTTTTCACACACACTAACTCAAGGTGAAGCTATTGCTGGCTTTTGCCATCCTTAGTTTTCTGGTGTCACTTGGTGTGTCAGGTCCGTATCAAGTTGTACTGGGCCTTGTAAATTTTAGCAATGGCGCTTACAAGAAGTTTAACCACTCATTTTACTAGTTCGAGCTACTCATTGTGTTTATTTGCTTTATTTTTTATGTAATAGAAGAGATTCCTCCATTTTCTCTTTTGTCCGTAGCCTTTTGTTAGAAATCTGTATTGATTTTGTTTTCATCTCATGTTTAGTTTTTGCGAGTAAAAGAAAAATCAGTATACCATAGCGCAGCACTTGGCAGAGGAACTGATTCAAAGGCTTCTTTTAGTACTCCTGAATGTGAATGTGTTGTGTCAATATTTAGTGCTGCAGATGGGTGACTGTATGGCACAGTGTCTCTGAACATTGGCCCAATCCCAAACGGCACACTTCATGTGAGCTTGTGGGCTTGCAGACATTTAGTGACCGCCATGTGCACTTGTCTGTGAAGTCCGCAAGACCGGAGGGTGTCCTAACCATCGGTTTAGCTTACAGAAGGGGGCTCTGAGCACATGCTATGCGCATTTCTGTCACACTTGCACTGAGGTGAGCTTCAAGCAGACCCGTGTGGTCTACCACAAGATTTTAGAGTGCCATTTGGGATACTATTGATGCCTGCTGATATAGACATGTATTTCCTCTCACACTGATTGGCCATTGGCTGTAGTCTTTTGCATTGTGTCAAAATTAACCCCAAACTTGAGGGTGGCCACAGTCAGCTTTCAATACTGCTAGTTATCTGGCCACAGCTTGGTGTGTCAGGACCCTTAGGTCCACCCTTATATAAATTTGTCCTGGGCCTTGTGAATTTTAACAATGTAAGAACTGTGACTACTCGTTCAGCCAGAGTAAGTTCTCATTGTGTTTATTAGCTTTGATTTTGAATGACTTTCTTCCGTTTTTGCTGTCATCTGCGCTCTTCCTTTCTCTATCTATATATATTTGTTCATATCTCACTTTCTGTCTCATATTCAACTTTTGTCAGTGAAAAAGATCAGTATTCCTTAGCGCAGCGTTCGGCAGTGATACTGATTGGTAGGCTTGTCTTAGTACTCCTGAATGTGGTTGTGTTGTGTCAGTATTTAGTACTTGGGATGGGTAACTGAACAGCACAGCAACTCAGAAGCAATGGCCCTATCCCAAATGGCACACTGCATGTGCACTTGTGGTCTTGAGAACTGCCTGGTCTACAAGCTGGTGTCCAAGTCATCATTTTAGCTTTCAATAGAGTGCTCATAAACTGCTATGCACCTTTTGTGAACTTCTGGTTACTACAGAACTTCTACCCAACAGTCAAGGCAGCATTACATCAATAAAATGTGGTCTCGGAGGAACGCCGTGTGCTAACAACACGTGACATGACAAGATTAAAGCGACAAGCAATTGGTCTGTCCTCATAGGACGCACCATGACTGAAAAACTTAAATACCAGAGCAATTCAGAAACATATAGTAGTGCACTGCATCCCAATTAAATGTTAAGGTTTATAATCTAATTAATACATATTACATATCTTTAACATTAATAAAAGTATAAGCCGAGTGACTGATGTTTGTTTATAGTCACAGTTCTAACGTAATTAGTTAACTTATTTTAAATATTTGAGGTTAATTATCTGCTTATGCTTTCAGTATGGCTATAAATGGGATGTAAAATGGGATTCAAATTCACATTGGTTGCATTTAACACTGAACAAAGCACCTGAGGTGTTCAATCTCAGTAGATTATGCTGTTGTTCAGCAGTGACATCACTGAAATAAAAACTTAAATAGGAACTTTGCAGGTCGGTTAGGACAAAAACTCTTTTTAACATGGAAAAGATAGCTGTTATTGTGTCACAATGTTGCTTGTAGTTCGGACACAGATGAAGACCTAAAGAGTTTAGGGTGTCATTTGGGAATGGGCCATTGCGGATCCAAAGCATGCAAGGAGAAATTGCTGTATCTAAATGGCAAAGGGCGAAGGAAGCTTTGTGTCCAGAAATCTTACAGGTGCTTGTCTGTAACTGAGACTGAAAACACCCAACTAGCATGTAGCGACATTAGAAGGGAAGGTTTCTCAAATGAGCTCTGCTTTCCTTGATGAAGTATATAGAATAGCATGCAAACCAAATTACAACAAACCTGCAATTTGATGAAAAATAGGTTGAACTGTAGGTCAGCCAAAGCATTCCATAATTGCATTGGTATATTACCAAAGCTTGTCTATGAAGACAAGCGGTGACCGCCATTGTGAATGCATGTATGGACCCCGTGCATGTTTCTGACTGTGGCATCACACTAGTAGTGTATGTCTTTTTAAACTCCCCTTAAAAGTCTTGAAGGACAGGTGGCGATGATTTGAAAAGAGTGTGTGCCTGGGAATGGCAAATGTCTGGGAAAGCAACCGGGAGTAGTTTTCGCTCACTGTATCATGCTTAAATTTCCCATAATGCTTTCCGCACTCTCTCAGACTAAAAGAAAACAAATATTTAATATATTTTTAGATAATTATTTTTATTTCATCCTCAATGTGCTATGGCATGCTTTCCCATGATCCACTGAGTATGGTATGTAAATAAGTGAGTAGCAGGTAGATTTCAATACAAACGAAAAATCTACAAAAAAAAAGTGACGTATAAAAACTCGCCAAACAACAACAAAAAAAATGTAATACTGCTGTATAGAAGTTGAATTAGCCTGCACATTTTTTAGGGCTGTGAAATTTGATTTTATTTTTGAGACTTGCATATAAATGTACATATATTTTTGTTTCCTCTTTTCTTCTTTTTATTTCCCCCCTGCACAAGAGAGTGTAGACAAAGGAATAATCCAAAACAGTATAAGTACAAAAACCAACAAAAAACACATAACCAATTATGTTAATTGTGTCTTGTGTGCTGCAGAGCTGTGGATATAAGTATTGAAGTAGAGCCCTTTTTTCATTATTATTATGATTAATATTATGATTAATTTCCTTTAAAGAAACACTGAACTGTTTGTGTATATGTATATAATGGATTCACATTGTTGGTCTCTACCTCTTGAGCTCAATGACTTGGTTGTTTACCTCCACGCTTTTATTTTTATGTGGAGATTTAAAACTTGAATGTCCCTTCCGACTTTTATATTCCTCTCAAACCCTGTATAAAGAAATCAGTCATTCAATTGCGATTGGTTGGAGGTGGTTCCCATCATCATATCCTTGTACAAAGTACCATGTTTTCACCCCAGTGTTCTCTGACTGTTAGATCCCATACAGACAACCCACGATGATTAACATGGTATCCTTCACCAAGAGACGTCAGATGAGATAGGCTTATAAAATAAGTGGCAAAGGAGGTAAAAAGCAGTCGTACCTAAGATAATTCAAACCGATTGGAGCCTGTGAAAAGAGACAAACAATTGGGCCAAATGAAGAAGGTACTGCACTTGCTCTTGAGTTTTTATAAGGAAGTTTATACTCAGAGTTAATGGTATTTCAATACATTTTATGACATATATGGCTATAATATAATTCGCATTCGATGCCCTGAAAGCAGAGGTGATTGTTAGGGACCGGAAGAACTCTGTGGATTTGTTCTGTGTTTTGAATCACCGGTCTCTTTTCAGAGTGTAGATTTGAAGTACAGTGGTGAAGCTCATTAAATGTTGACATTTAAAAACTGTGTGTTGTTTCTGTCCCTTTTTTACTTACAGATATGGGGATTTATAAGCACTGAATTTAAAAATGTCTTTCACAGCATTTTTGTCATGGAGTGAAACCAGGATGACAATTGAACGCCAATTTATATGCCAGTTTTTGGTTTTTAGTTATGATAAATGTGTCCTAGTATTCCCTGTTTGCATAATGTAAGTCTGAGGTGTCCCCAGAATGTGTTTGTGAAGCTTCGGCTCAAAATATGGATCATTTATTATGCTGCAAATGCCTTTTATTTGGTGGAAGCAAAAACACATTGGGCGTCCCAATTCGCAATTCACTATCGGTCCGAAATAGTATTTGAAAATAGAATTAGTATATCCCAAATCGTAGTATGTTAAAGAGTATGCCAAAGGTTCCTGGATGGTTTACTATTTCCGGTAAACATTTTAAGTGTAAACCATCCATACTCTAGCCACTGATACTGCCCACAGTACATTGCGCTTTGGATGTGAATTCGATTAGAACTACAAACGTGGGTGAAAAGTGTAAATAAACTACAAACATGATGGACGCATGAGACCAACAGTGAAGTAGAGAGGCTTTGATAAAAATGTTTGTATGATTGTTAATTAATATGTAGTCAACTGGGACATATTTAAATAGCATTTTCTGTATTATATTTCATCTGCAACAACAATACTGAACTGGATTGATTGGACATTAATGTCTGAATGCAGAATTATCCACACACCTGAGGAGATTTCTCTGCATTAAAAACTCAAGAATAGGCGATTACCCTGCTGCTGCTTATCCAATTTGGTAGGAAATTACATATGCAGAAATGTGGATGATGTGTTGATGATTGACAGGGCTCATAACTAAGCAACACAACGATCTGTTAATGAGGAAGTAGTATGTCCCAACACTGTTTTTGTGTTACTTTAAATGCAAATGAGCGGCACCATTTTCAAAAGAGGGCCAAGCCTTAAAAGGGGCCTATTATGTCTCTTTTGACAAGATAAAATAAGTTTCCTAATGTCCCTAGAGCAGGGGTGTCCAAACTTGGTCCTGGAGTGCCATTGTCCTACAGATTTTAGCTCCATTTTGGCTCAACACACCTCCAAGGATGTTTCTAGAAAGCCTAGTAGGAGCTTGATTAGCTAGTTTAGATGTACCTGATTGGGGTTGGAACTAATCTTTGCAGGACACCAGCCCTCCAGAACCAAGTTTGAATACCCCTGCCCAAGAGTGTGTAGGTGCAGTTTCATCTCAAAATACCTCACAAATTAATCAAATAACTCTTTTTAACTGCCTCCTTTTGGCTTTATTAATACAAATTGTGAAATTTTGGTGGCTGTAAATATAAATTCCAATGAGATTGTGCTCTTTACAAAAGTATGAGGGGCTACAAACAGCTTCAAAATAGGACTAACTGAATATTTTAAAAGAAGTGAATCAGAAGTAGGCTGTTTATGGAGACTACATTGTACGCTGAAACATTCTAAAACTCCACATTTATAATGCCTCCAAGTCGCTGACGTTATTTTTAGCAGGGACAGTAAAAAAACTGTAATGGCGGATGGCTGCTTCTCACTCAAGGCTGTTTATGCTTATGTGCTAATGACATGTACGAAGGGTGAATTATATATAAGCAATTATAAAAAAAACAGAATTAATTTGACTATTAGAAGATGGTTATATTCACACACTGTTGGCACATAACAGTGTTAAAATCTCTTAGAAAAGTGATTTTTGCATAATAGGTACCCTTTAACTCCTTGACTTCGTTTAATTTGGCAATAACAAATGCATTCATTTAAAAGCCTTGTTGATTTACACTACTGAAATTGTTTATTATTTTGTATTAATTTTAGTAATAATTATAAACACCAATTAAAATAGTGAATGAACATAAAAATCAATATATTTATATATATTTATATATATATTTATATATCAATATATTTATAATATAAAATCATTTTTATTAAATCCCTAAAAACTCAGGGCTTTCACACTTTAGAAAAGCCTGAATATTAAAAATAAGGATTTAAAAATATATTATTGCTAATTTATAAACTGTTTAAACCCATTTCATCCAGTTTAATTAATCTAAATATAAAGCTAATATGATTTTTGTAAAATAAATAAAACAGACATAAAAAATATACAGTATAGCAACAGCTTTGTTCATTGCAAACACAAACAAAACGAAATATTTCAGAGGTGTTAATGGGGGGAAAGCGTGTTTTTCTATATTTGAATGCCAAGATCTAAGTCGTATAAATATAACCATGTTAGAGCACAAACAGATTTAGAAAGTTGGCAAATCCTGCCAGCAGGGGGAAACTTCCAGAAAGCTCATCTCATTAAAGACATGCTCACCTTTTTCAAATCTAACTTTAGTTATATTCAATGATCTTTTATTTAAAACTATGAATTACATATATTCATTTTAATCTTTTTCTACAGTATTAAACCATGCAATATGTGTCAGAGAAACCATAAAATGTGTGTATTTTCGGACACAATAATATCAGATTAGTAAGACAAAAAAGATTGTAATAAAAGTTGGTTTGCACCTAAAATAGTAGCTATGATATGATAAAGTTAAACAATGTGTGGGATTCATAACAACGACTACATTTAATTGTTGTTTACTGCATTTTTTGAAAAGTTTTCCGGTATTTTGCATTCTCAAAACAACATTGTCACCTATCAGCCCACACAGCATGCCAAAAGCTGTCTAACAGAGCTGTCTTTTGTTATAAGGTCACGCGAATAGACTATAACGTGTCTTATTAAGAGATGTGTATGGGATTGACTTTTTGATTTAATATCTTGAAAGCTCAACAAAATGTTATCACTGAAGCATGGGGAATTCTCCATTTGTTCACAAACACACACACCCCATAAGAATGACTTTGATGCTGCTGGGGCTTTTCCTTCTTAAACAAAGAGTGCTTTCACTGGCGTCTCCAGGTGAAATGAGGGGATTGTGGGCTGCCATCTGGGCGCTGTAGTGACTCAACGTGCAGACAACAGGACAACTGCTTCTCAGCACCTTTTATTTGATTCAAAGTTCAAATATAAGGGACAAACACAAGATAACTATAACAAAAAGTCATTTTCGGTGGTGAAAAATACTTGATGTTGGCAGGTCATGAGTTATAGTAAGACTGAAACCAAAAGCAAGTAAAGTGTGATGGTTGACAGTGAATTTCCAAGATTACATTATAAAAAAAGTAATGTAAGTTCTGTCATGTGTTTAAATTAATTATGTAAGATGTTTTTTCTATTACATGTGGAAATATATCATCATGACACAAGCCGGTAGCCAGCCTAGTGGTTCTATTTTTCTCAAAAAGTGGACCTTTTTGCAGTTATAGGCCTTCATTGGTCAACTATTAAATTATGCGATTTAAAAACAGCATTTTCATGACATTTTAAGCACTATTTTAGCTTAAATAGATTGTTGGATAGTCATCATAACCAAAAAGTACATTGGGAAATTCATGGTTAACAACAGCCAAACTAGTTTTCAAATTAATTTTAATATCAGTCGTTTTTTGTGATTCACACCCTTTTCGTTGGTCAATTTGTTGTTTGCAAGACTTAGAATAAAAGTAACTTGTAAAATATTTACTCTATTTAAAAACAATAGAGTAGCGAAAGACGACTTCACTTCCTCAGATTGTATGTTTTCTTACACAGCTGGATGTTGGATTCATGAAAAATAATTGTGTTCACTGGCCAAAACTGATTGGCTGAAGTCAGACCTAAGTGACACCCAACAGAAGATTCCACTTGGTCTTTAAAACCTTTTTCGATGGTTTATTTTCACTATGATGGCATAGCAGTCAAAATAGGACAAATGAGCTCATGTATGGGAAAACTCTGGACCTTTGTCAGTGAGAGGTGGGTCTTTCGAACCACTCAAACCACCCTGGCTATAGGCCTGTTACAACATGTTGCTGTTCTTTTCCTCAATGGGTTTTTGAACATGACAATGTTTCTATCTAAAAATAAAAATACTTTTATTTAGTTTTTAAAAACTTTTAGGTATCCAATATTTTGGATGATCACTTTAAAAGATTTTAGTGTAATTTATGATAAAATTGTACTCTTATTATCTTGGTGGAAACCAGTGTTTCTCAACCACGTTCCTGGAGGACCACCATGGTTCAGATGTCTCCTCTGTCTGTCACACCCAGGTTTTTCAGTCTCTGCTAATAAACTGATGATCTGAATCAGGTGTCTTTGGTTAAGGAGACATGAAAAATGTGGAGAGCTGTTGGTTCTCCAGGAACATGGTTGGGAAACACTAGTGTAAACTATGTGTTCAGTCTATAGACATGCACAAGTAGGCCTATTTGACAACCAAAACAATACGTGCTAGCCCAAAATACTTTTTTATTTTGTATTATCATGTAAACCAAGCATTATTTTGTATTTCCTCTTTTTGATTTGATTCTATGGTTACTAAGTGGTGAACTGATTATGTTCAACTGTGTCTTGTTTTTTTCTTTGTTATCCTGTATGTATATATATATATATATATATATATATATATATATTTATTTATATTTATATATATATATTTATATATATATATTTATATATACATCATGTTGTCAGGATGAAAAACCACAGGGTTCCAAAGCAGATGCTAGAGACAAGAACCCAAGGAAAACGCCCAATAGGCCTCAAATGAAATAGACTCACTTAACCAAGTATTCCAAAAGAGCGAAGTAGACCCAAACTTCACCAAACAGTGGCCACAGACAGGGAAAGGTGGCAGAAACTTTGTTCAGCCTCTACATCTCTAGGTAGAAGAGGCCAGGAATGAGTAAAGTGAAATGATAACACAGAATCCACATAGCCACAGTACAAATTGCATAGATTGTGCATGTTTTTTTTTTTGTTTTGTTTTTTTTGTTTTTTTGAAGGCCTGTATGCTTGTGGGTTAGACAAATTGTAGATGTTTTTTTCTTTTTAGGTTTGTACATTTGAGTTTTTTACATTTTCGGCGGTTTTATGTACATAAGAGCGATGACTTTTATTATGAAGCAACAACTTTTAATGAGACAGGAAGTAATTCCTCTGTTATACATCACCTTTACATCTCAAAATATGTGCATGCGACAGAGTGTAACACTTCTTACTTAGAATTTGCGACTCTAAGTATGCTTATTATTAGTTTAGTGTTTGGACTTTGCACTTAACTCTGAGTGAAAGTGTCCATAGACCGCCATGTCTCCTGTAGCGGGCGCTAAGTTTGTCCGCACGCCGCTTCAGCTCTACCGGTACCTGCTGCGCTGCTGCAGACTTCTGCCATCAGAAGCCATGCAGAAACACTACCAACACGCCATCAGACAGGTGCCTTCATACACGAGAGAATGATTTTAAAAATAAATCAGACTTTTGTCAGGTGTAAACGTGTTTTCTTCCAGAGCTATAACAGCCATGTGGATGAGGATGACCCACAGAGGATTCAGATGATCATTCAAAGAGCTATATCTGATGCAGACTGGATATTAAATAAAGTAAGCTTATTTTGTTCGAGAAAAAAAAAACTAATATATATACTCTTTAGATTACTTTTTAATTTTAAAATTTACTTTTTAAAAATACTTTAATAGAACTTAAAAGAAATGTAACTTTTGGATTACTTTTTTTGGTTGTTTTTAATAATTTTTATTCTTTGTTGCTTTTATTACTTGTATTTATATATTCTGTTTCTTTTATTCTAGTTTATGTACTCTGAATTACCATTGTGTACCTATACTTACCAGTTTTTTTTTTTTATCTTTTTAGTACACAAAAAAGAAGTGACCACCTTTGTGAAGTGTTCATCATGAAGCAAACTGAGGACTTGCACACAAGTGTGCTGCTAAACACCGTGACGAGAAAGTCAAATCATAAACAGAGGTTAAACAGTACATCACCAAATATCCATATCAACTTTTACAAGTGTAACAATGCCATAAAGTTTACTTGATGATTACATAATATTTTACACATACACAATGCCCTTTATTGACTTTGTCTGGTATATAAGCCATTCAATTATTGATGCACCTATTTGATCATATACTTGTTGCCATTACATTCAAGTTTGTATATTTTCATTAAATTTAATATTAATATTGTTTTGAGTTAATAAATGTTTTAATATTACATTTGTGTTTCCTAATTTTGACTCTCCCATTTAAACGTTTTGATAAAGGCACATTAACGTACACTCACCGGCCACTTTATTAGGTACACCTTACTAGTCCTGGGTTGGACCCCCTTTTACCTTCAGAACTGTCTTAATCCTTCATGGCATAGATTCAACAAGGTACTGGAAATATTCCTCAGAGATTTTGGTCCATATTGGCATGATACCATCACGCAGAGTTGCTGCAGATTTGTCAGCTACACATTCAGGATGCGAATTACTCTTTCCACCACATCCCACATTACATTGAACTCATTGTCATGTTTAAGAAACCGGTCTGAGTTGATTTGCGCTTTATGCCATTGCACGTTATACTGCTGGAATTAGCTATCAGAAGATGGGTGCACTGTGGTCATAAAGGAATTGTCAGCAACAATACCTAGGTGGGCTGGGGCATTGACATGATGCTCAATTTATACTTATAGGCCCAAAGTGTGCCAAGAAAACATCCACCACAACATTACACCTCCACCCCTAGCCTGATCTGTTTATACAAGCCAGGATGGATCCATGCTTTCATGTTGTTGACTCCAAATTCTGACCCTACCATGCAAATGTCACAGCAGAAATCGAGAATCATCAAACCAGGCAAAGTTTCTTTTTCTGTCAAGTTTTGGTGAGCCTGTGCGAATTGTAGCCTCAGTTTCCTGTTCTTAGCTGACAGGAGTGGCTGGTGTTGTCTTCTGTGGTCATCCCCCTTAAGGTTTCTGAAATACTCAGACCAGCACATCTGGCACCCACAACTATGCCAAGCTCAAAGTCATTTAAATCATCTTCCTTCCCCATTCTGATTCTCGGTTTGAACTGCAGCAGATCATTCTGACCATGTCCACATGCCTAAATGCATTGAGTTGCTGCCATGTTATTGACTTATTAAATAGTTGCGTTAACGAGCAGCTGTACCTAATAAAGTGGCCAGTGAGTGTTTGTGGTACTGATTTTTAGATAAAGCAATTGTCCAGGGCTACATTTAATCTATTCAATAACTAGACAAATAATCACTGCGGTAAATTTCAGAAATCCTCAACACTCAAGAAATAATGTTTGCTCTTTGTTCAAACTACTTATTTAAAATGAGCTAAAACAACACAACTCTTGTGTTTTTTAGGTGGACAACTTTAACTGTCAAATTACTTATATTTATAAAGACTATCACGTTAACTTAATTCCTTCATGTTGTCCCAACACAAATCGATTGTGTGGAACTCAGCATTTCTTTACAGTGAGCTTTACCAGGGGCGGACTGGGACTTAAAATCAGCCCTGGCACTGTAGCCACACCAGTCCACTTTACCACACTGACACAGCCCTATCCACAGACAAGCACATTCACTACTTATATTGGTGTACAGATGGTGAAATAATATAAGCTGTACCATATGTAATAGATATTTAACCATTTAATGCATGTGACTGGAACAAAAACAACCCGTTTATAACAAATTTTTCCATACAGTCATTTTATTCATTCATTTTCTTTTTGGCTTGATCCCTTTATTAATCAGGGGTCGCCACAGCGGAATAACCGCCAACTTATCCAGCATATGTTTTATGCAGCGGATGGCCTCCAAAATGCAACCCATCACTGGGAAACCCCTACACACACACATTCACAAACATGCACTAATTAGGCCTGCAATTCACCTATAGCACATGTGTTTGGACATGTGAGGGAAACCGGGAGGAAACCCACGCGAACATGCAAACTCCACACAGAAACACCAACTTTCAAGACTATTTCAGTTAAATTTCTGCATTTAGCAGCGTCTGATTTTAGAGCAATTTTTTGTTTTCTCTGAATTTTTCGGCACCGGCTTTCATTTTTACCATCCATCTCTGACAATAAGCTTGTGTAGCACTTACTGTTTGTTTGACAGTCTTACCAGATTTTGATTACGTTCGCGTAACCTTTAATTGGGTCGGCTCATCTTGAAACCAGCCGGCCATTGCCGATTGGACCAATGCTTAACATTTAGTATTATTATTACTACTTTCATCATCATCATCATCATCATCATAATATTTACATCTTGCAAGAGATAAAAGCTGCCTGCATGTAAAAACGATACATACAAAAAATAATGATAATAATAAAAAAAATAGCATACCGGCCCACATTTAAAAAATGGTCCGGCCCTTCTGGCATTTGCCGGAATTGCCAGATGGCCAGTCCACCCCTGAGCTTTACTGATTTCAACTGGACGCTTGTCTGAATTAAAAATTTTAAGTTATATTGTTCTAATTATATAAAAATCACTTACTTGATATAAAACTGATGTAAAAAGACTGTAAACACTTACAGAACGCGCAACAGAATATATCTTAATTTGCATTTTCAAACATGCTGTTGAGATTTAGTCACTAAAAAACTCGCAAAATTATTCCAGTAAAAACTACTGTGAAATCCTGTAAACTAGTTGCTAAGTGTGACTTTTATAGTTGCCAAAAAACAAACAGATGGAAACATCATTGCGTAATGCTAAATCGAAAGTAGTTATATTGGTTGCACTATTAATAGCAATGACGTTCATTTGTGTGCAATGAATCATGCACATGTGTTCTGCAATAAACATAATCGTTCCGTTCAGCAGAACTTTGTGTAATGAAAGTGATTATACAATGAAGACGGATCATGGGAATCCTCTGATTGCTTTTCGATTAGTGTTTTTGCAGTTAACCTGCAAACTGGCAGCTTCATGTAATTTTCTCATTATATTCTCATCAGGTCTAAATCAACTATTAATTTTTATTGCTTTGTTTTGTATATCAGATAAAGATTTCCATCAGTCTTCATCACACTCAAAACAAGGCCGACTTTATTACACTCTGACGTACTTATGATTTCTGTAAGTGAGCTTGAGGATTTCAAAGTCATCAGAGACTTATTTAAAATGAAAGAAGATGAGTGATTGTGTATACAATACCTCATGAGGATTTAGGAAATCCTGGGAAATGTTCCGGGCAGTGTAGTAACACAAGAGTTTGCTGTTTTGCCCAATTGCTAAGACACATTTCCTGGATACAATAACATGATTCCTAAGAACTAAACACTATAGCACATTCACAGAGCTCACACTTATTAAAGCATCTTAAATATGATTAAACTGACATAATAACATACACTAAAGCTTCATAATCAACTTGAACACAACATACTGAGAGTTATTGAACGCAATATGAACATAGCCTTTTCCTGTAACCCTAATAATACACTCCTGTTTTAGAGAACAACCTTTATGCATGGTGAGTTTGAAATGTAATATAAAGTATACACTTTTAAAGGGACAGTTCACCCAAAAATAAAGAAATACACACAGTTTATTCACCCTCGAATATTTCTGCATTTCTTCATTCTGCTAACACAAAAGATCAAAGCTGATGTCAGAATCTAAAATTATTCCAAGATTAATTTTCCAAGATTTAATGTTTTTGCAGGAAGTAAATAATACAGAAGAATGGCCACAGAGAGGCTATAAATAGGGCCAGACAGAATCTGCGGGCATTTTTTTTTTTACTATTTCTGCGGAAAATTTTGGTAAAAATCTGCAGATTTCTGCAGAATTATTTTGGAAGTATCATAACTAAAACCTTAATATGTGAAATAAAAAGTAATATCTTTTTTTATATATTTAATGTTTAAAATGTAAATCCAATTAGATTCTATGGAAGTTTTTCAAATAATATATCTACTAAAAGACAGACAACATTACTGTAAGGCAAGGCAAGGCAAGGCAAGTTTATTTATATAGCACATTTCATACACAATGGCAATTCAAAGTGCTTTACATAAACAGGAATAAAAAAGACAAGTTTAGGAAAATAAAATGCAGACAATAAAAATTATTAAAAACAGATAAAAACAAATTAAAATGAGTTAAAATAGGTTATAAAAGAATGAAAAAGAAATCGAAAAACATAATAGTGCGATCTGTCGGACGCAGCACAGTGCTCATTCAGTAAAGGCACAGCTAAACAGATGTGTTTTCAGTCTTGATTTGAATGTGCCTAATGTTGGAGCACATCTGATCATTTCTGGAAGCTGATTCCAGCAGCAAGGGGCATAGTGGCTGAAGGCAGATTCACCCTGCTTAGACTGAACTCTTGGAACTTCTAGTTTATATGATCCTAAAGATCTGAGTGATCTGTTAGGTTTGTATTCAGTGAGCATATCTGTAATGTATTGAGGTCCTTGACCATTTAGTGATTTATAGACCAGTAATAATACTTTAAAATCTATTCTGAATGTAACTGCCAGCCAGTGTAGAGACCTGAGGACAGGTGTGATGTGCTCTGATTTCCTGCTTCTGGTCAGAATTCTGGCTGCAGCATTCTGGATGAGCTGCAAGTGTCTGACTGTCTTTTTGGGAAGGCCAGTGAGGAGTCCATTACAGTAATCCACCCTGCTACTGATAAAAGCATGAACAAGTTTCTCTAAATCTTTACTAGAAACAAAGCATCTGATTCTTGCTATGTTTTTGAGATGATAGTATGCTGATTTACTGACTGCTTTGACATGACTGTTGAAACTCAGATCTGACTCCAGCGTCACACCAAGATTCTTGACCTTAATGTACAAACTGCATTGTACATAAATCAGATGAACATTTTCATATTAGTCAAAAATATTACTGTAATAAATTAAAAAACTGAAAAAATATATATTTACACACATATGATGGGCAAAAAATCTGCGGAAAATCTGCGGAATTCCATGTTGGCATAGCCATAAGTCCTTTTCCAACATGTTTGTATTCAATGTTCCATGCTGGTGGAATGATCTTCCCATTCCAACTGGGCCGCGGATTCACTTGTATCTTTCAATTACTATTACAACAATTAAAAAATCCATCTCTTCTGAGAGCACTTTAAACCAGTGAATAAAACCAAGACCTCTTGTTGAAGCACTAGCTTTTTTTCACTCCTACTCCACTCCTCTCTAGCACTAAATTCTCTGAGTA